TTCTAGCTACGAGTAGTAATGCCCTTGTTGCTATTTGCTTCTAGCTACTAGTAGTAATGCTCTTGTTACTAGTAGATTCTAGCTGCTGGTAATAGTGCCCTTGTTACTACCGGCTTCTAACTACTAGTAGTAATGCCCTTGTTACTAGCAGCTTCCAGCTACCAGTACTAATGCCAATGCCAATGTTACTAGGAGCGCTGCGTTTTGGTACTAGCTTCTAGCTACTAGTACTAATGCCAATGCCATTGTTACTAGTAGCGATGCCTTTGTTACTAGTAGCTTGTAGCTACTCATAGTAATGCCCTGCTTACTCGTAGCGATGCCTTTGTTACTAGTAGCTTCTTCCTACTAGTCGTAATGCCCTTTTGACTAGTAGCGTCTAGCTACTAGTTCCTAGTAGTAATGCCACTGTTACTAGCAGGGATGCCTTTGTTAATGCCCTTGTTATTAGTAGCGATGCCTTTGTTACTAGTAGCTTCTACCTACTGGTAGTGGGGCCCTTGTTACTAGTAGCTTATGGCTAATGCCCTTGTTGCTAGTCGCTTCTAGCTACTAGTAGTAATGCAATTGTTGCTAGTAGCTTCTAGCTACTAGTGGTAATGCCATTGTTACAGCTACTAGGCTGCTAGGAGTAGTGCCCTTGTTGCTAGTAATGCCCTTGTTACTAGCAGCTTGTAGCTACTAGTAGTAATGCCTTTGCTACTAAGTGCCCTTGTTACTAGTAGCTAGCTACTAGTAGTGACGCCCTGGTTCCTGCTAGTAGTAGCGCCCTTGTTACTAGTAGCTTCTAGCTACTAATAGTAATGCTCTTGTTACTAGTAGCTTCTAGCTACTATTGTTATGCCCTTGTTACTAGTATGCTCTTGTTACTGGTTGCTTCTAGCTACTAGTAGTAATGCCCCTGTTACTAGTAGCTCCTAGAAGTGCCCTTGTTACTAGTAGCTTCAAGCTACTAGTAGTAACGCCCTTGTTGCTAGTAGCTGCTGGCTACTAGTAGTAACGCCCTTGTTACTAGTAGCTTCTAGCTACTAGT